AATTGGAGAAGACTCCACAGTCCCTGTGTGGACCGTGCTTAACACAGCCCAGCCTGCAGATGATTTCTGGTTGCACAGCTCCACGTTCAGGTTTGTTTTGAAGTGTTTGGTCTAAGGACAGCTGCTCTGAGGTCAGCACTGGGCAGTGCAGGGGGGTGAAAGTGTCCTGCCACAAGCTTTTGTCTCTTCCTGGACCAGATGTTGGAGCGGGGTTGATTCAGTCTGTCTTGAAGGGATTACACCATCTGCCAGTGTAGACAGCAGCAGGATGCCCTATAAGAATGGTAGAGGTCAAGGTGATTGACCCTCAGCTGCATGTTCTCTAGCTCAGTGACGATGTGATGTGTATTGAGGAGGGGGCAGTGTTTGCATCAGGCTCCGTTGCAAGGCCTGGTGCCTTGGTGGGAATGGGAGTTTGGCAGCCTGTCGCTTGAGAGAGGCTGTTTGAGGTTGTGGGGCTGCTTGATATCCAGGACATGTTCATCCCCCACAGCTACACTGAAATGGCCCTCCCTTGGCAGGAGGGGATGGAGGTCATTAATGTTGGTTCCTGCCTGGCAAGAACTCAGTGGGGCCAGGCTGGGAAGCTCAATGCTGCTGCTGTGATCCAAGCACCGCCATGGTGATTCACCCCCTGCCCACGCAGCAGCAGCGTGAAGCACAAGTCTGTGCCACAATCCCTGCTGTGGGCAAGGGCACCTCACCATGATGGCACTTGGCTTGTGGCACCACTATCAAGCTATCCCACCCTGCTCTGTCCTGCCACGCCAGGTCCTGCTCCCTGGGCCATGGAGGCCTCAGGAGGTGGGCAGCAAGATGGGGAGCCTGAGCCTGCAGCTGGTAGCCCTCACCCACCCTGCAGTGTGCTGTGCCACAGTAGCCTGCACCTCCCACGAGCAGCAGCTGAGCAGACAGGGTGCTGTGGACCTGGTCCCTGGCCCCGTAGCCCTGGCAGCTGGGGGCTTCCTCTGGCAGGGCTGGGCTGGGCAGAGAGCTGTGGGTGGGGACTGAGGGTACCAGAAGTGGTAGCAGGGCTGTGCATGGGGAGTGAGGGGCACCAACAGGGCCAAGGGGCTGTGTGGGGGAGTGTGGGGTACCAGCAGGGGTGAGGGGGCTATGGGTTGGTAGCGAATTTTTTTTTAATGAGAAAATTTGCAATTTTTAAACAAACACCAGGATCCCTGCATATCATGTGTCAGGTGAATAGTGGGAATGTTGTACTCCTGCCTGTCCTGGCTAAGCTTGCAAAGCGCTGTAGTGCAGAGTGAGTGCAGACAGGGCTGGGGGCAGCTGGGGCAGGAGACACTGATGCTGTAACGCTTGTGCCTGCAGATCTCAGAGGTCTTTAAGGATGTGGCTGTGTATTTCACGGAGCAGGAGTGGGAGCTGCTGGAAGAGGAGGACAAGGGGCTTTACCTAGACCAGATGCTGAGGAACTACCAAGCTCTCGTTTCCCTGGGTAAAGTTCTGGTTCTTGCCTCTCCCTGGAGCCATGTGAGCTCTGAAGTGTTGTTGTGTTCTCCCTGGTTTTAACGGTCTTATGCTCATTAACTTTTGGCCCGTGACGTAAATCCCCTTCTTCCTCTTTGCTGTGTCCATGATCACACCTCTTTCACATTTCATACTTGTATAAGTTCCTTCTTCATTTGATGCAGCCGCCTTCACTGAAGTCTTCCCCTTTGATAACATGATTTCCCTTTGCCTTCTCACCATGATCGTATCATCTGTGATTCATTGTGGCTAAAAATTCACTGACAGCCGTTCCTCAGGTAGTTATTCTGAGTTCCTCCCTCTCTTACCTAGTGTGTCCTGTCCACTAGCGTTATCAATCTGAGTGTGCTCAGCTCAGTGCTGTCTAAATTCCTTTTCTCCTCCTCTGAATATAACCCCACAGAAGTTAATGGCAGTCTTACCGGTCTCTGCTGCTGCAACACCTGGAACTTGCATTTCCTCAGCTCCTTTTCTAGTGACCTACATACATGTGATGGGACCCGGATAGTTGTAACCCAGAGTCACTAGACGTTCCTGTCCACGTTCCTTCCTACCATCTTCATCTCCGCTGACCACAGACTCTGGCTTTGCTGTATTTACTTTGAAACCTGTGCTCTCAAGCTCACCCTGCCATTCTCAAAAGTTTTCTTCTCTTCCTAAAATCCCCCTCCATCTCTCATGCCCATCACTGTGATAAAGTGGAGTGGGCTTGGTGCAGGGCCCAGTTAAAACCAGTTGTCGATTCCAGAAGCTCCTCCTACAGGGGCTTGTTCTGTGTTGTGTGCAGGCTTGGGGCACTTACCTTTTACTAGGTCCTTTGGCGTTTTTGGTGCTTTCTTTTTCCTCCATTTCCCCCAAAGGATTACCTTAAAAAAGGCTCAGATGCTTTTTTTAGCTCAGCACAGACCATCTTGAGCTTTTTAGACTTTTGTGTAATTATATAGGAAATGTCAGGTGATTTTTGCCCAGTGTAAAAACCTACTTGTTATTGCTTATGTTGGCAATCCTCTTGATTTCTGGCTACACTAACATTTTACTCACCACCTGCCTAGGAACAGCGTCTCTTTAATTACAACCAAGGCATAGCAAGTGAGTTAGGTGGGTAGAGTGCCCTAGACTGGTGGGCTGGCTGCCGTGACTGTCCCAGAGATGGCCCCGTCATGTGTTCATTTTCACATGTTCACATGCAAATGTTGTTTGGATCATTCTCTTTGCAGTCACTTCCCAAAATATACCTTTCAGGCATGAAAGGCCTGCTAGAGACCATGTGTTAATCCTTTTTTCTAACACTAACAGCAATGTCCATCCTCCTGTGTCCTTGAAGTCCTTAATATTACCCTCGAGTTCATTGGATCCATTGCCCAAATCTCAGTTGGTTATTATGCATTGAGTCACAAAAATGCTTTAATTGCTGCCCAAACAGGATATCGAGGTCCCACTCCTGACTTAATCTGCCGCATCCAGCAAGGACAGGTGAAGCTCTGGGTCTGTGATAAGGACTATGGAGACATCTCAAGGTCAAAGGACCCGCCACCAGGTGAGTTGTGGCTTCCCCTCCACCCAACTCCACTCCACAAAATGTTGACCAAGGTTCCAGTATCAATCAGCATTGGGGAGGGGGTTCATATTTCCCTTTTCTCCCACTAAAGTTTGACCCCTAATAGTCAAAACAAACTCATCCTACTAGCCCCCTGGGTGCTTGGGGATAGGGTTTTCCTTCCTTATTGTGGGTTGGGAGGCACTGAAAGATGAACTGACCAATTTGAGTACAGCTCTGCCCCCACCCCCAGCTCCTGCACGCAAATGAGCTCTGTCACACTCTGCACTACTTTGCTCTCTAACTCATTCCTCTCCCCTTTTGTTTAACAGCTGTCTCCAGGGCGCTTTATATCAATTTTCAGCTTCTCCACAAAATGCTTCAGTGTTGCAGGCATCAGTTGTTGGGGGAGCAGCACCATAATGCTCAATTTTAGAACTTGCTCAGAACTAGTCTGATTAAGAACTAGTTCTCCCTAACATCCCTAACATGGGTATGAAAAGAGGGAAATCAGGGCATATTAGGTAGTGACCCCAGTTCCCCAACCCCTAGAGATTACCTTACCCACTGGCTGTAGTGCTCAACCTGATACATCAGTCTGTGGCATTCACCAGTTTTTTACCAATAGGATACTTTTTGCCAGAGACCCCCAAAGATTGGTTGTCACAGGCCAGCTGGGCACTGTTAGTGTATCAGTGTAGTTGCAGGCTGACTGAGTGCTGCAACTATCAGCCACTGGCTATTTGGTTCGGGATCAAGGAGGTAGAGTTGGCAGTGAAGCAAAGACAAATTTAATTTATAACAGTAAAAATAAATTTTACTTATAACAGCAAAATAACAACAAAAATATGTTTAAGCAGCAACAAATATAGTTTACACATATAACAGTTAATAAAAAGGTTAAACTAATAAACAACATAACAATAAAAGTTAAAAATTGGCAGTGATAATAAAAACAGACAGAGAAATTGACAAAAAGTTCCCACTTGGTTAGCAGCTTATTGATAGTCCCTCAGTGTCAGGTAAGCGTGGAGTTGATCCAGTGAAGTCAGGCATCCCCAATCCATGCTGCTGGAGGGAATACCAGGGAAGGTCCCTCAGTCAGAATTTGGTCCTCACACTGGGAGTAAGGAATTCTGGAGCGTGGGACAGCAATGACCATTCTGTTCCGTCCTTCCTGCTGGTCACTTAATGTGCATGTTCCTTTCTATCTTGTCTTATGCTAAACTGTTGGCTTTAGAGCCACTCACAATGTTACTCTACAGTTGTTACTCTATGGCAGGGGTTCTTAACCTTTTTTCTGCCGTGGACCCCTTTGGCAGTCTGGAGAAGCCTATGGACCCATTCTCAGAATAATGAGCGTCTGTAGACAGGAAGACTGCGATCACATGCGATCTAGTGGCGGATCTAATAACTACCGTAATTTCAAAGTAGTGATGAGCGTAAACGATATTTCAAGATATCTGCAACAGCTGTAATGTGATATGAAAATATCTGTGATTTCTATTGGTGACAAAGTCACAGGTATTGCTAATACTACTGTGGTTTGTTGCCTACATTCATAATTGAAGGAAATGCTAAATTTCAGTTAGAGGTTAGTGAAAATAAAGATGTAATTTTTTTCCCATCCAAGTTCACGGACCCCCTGAAATCTATCCACAGACCCCTTGGGGGTCTGTGGACCCCAGGTTAAGAACCCCTGCTCTATGGGGTTAAAAGGTGTTAGAAATTATTATAATAGGTTACTGCCTAAGCTTGGGTTTACTCGATAAGCAAATCACACCACATCACTTTGGGGTCTGAGGTTAGCATTTTTCCTGCCCAAATCTAACTGACTTAGAATTTTTTTAAGATGTGTTAATTATACCTTGTGGTTAGGTTTGTCAATCTTACTGACCTTTAAGCAAAAATGTATTAAATCAGCTAAGTCTGCAGTTTTATTTTTTAATTCTGCTTTTTGAAACTCATGTCAGTCTTATGATCGGTACAAACAGTTAAATATAATATTATGGTTATATTCCTGACAGACAGGATGCGTCTGCAGGAAATAATTTCATAAGCTTTATTTTAGCCAATATATTTATTATGTGCCTTTACCAGATACTCTCAAAAAGCAGATTCCATTTTTGCTATAAGTTGCTCATTAATCCTTTTGGTTCTGGCCATCACAATTGGTGCGGCCCCTCATCTGATTTAGTATCTAGTAAACTTTAATAGTAACTCCAAAAACATTATTACAAGTTTCCTCCCTGTAATACGACTTGACAAGTGGCTCCATTAGAGGTTATAGCAGCAACCTGTCATACCAGTCCCAGAAATACACCCCGAGGCTGTTCACCCTTGTATCCAGATGCTGCTCACAGGATTGCAAGAGATCAAGGGCAAGCACTGGAGGTGAGTCTCACGAAAGCACTGGGGCTTCTGGAGCATGTCAGCCCAGTCAGGTGGAGGGTTCAGTACCATCTCCACTTGGACTCACCAGTGCTGTGGGAAAGAGCAGCCCTTCAAGAGCTTCACTTTTCCCTGTCGCAGATCCTTCTGGTCTCAATCTCAGTCCATTACAACATAAAGCCATTCAGGAACTGCTGAAAAATCACATGTCCTACATGTTCCTCCCAGCAGCGCCTGAGGTGATGGGACTGAGAGCTGGTCCAGAATCTTTGAGAGTCTGGCTCAGATCTCCACTGAGTAGGGAAGATGAGACTGGCACAGGGACCTGGCACTGCCTCACCCCCAGCACTTGGGGTTTTGGCAGAAAGACCTTGTTTTCTGGAGGAAACGCAAGTACCAAAGTCCAGGCCTGCTCAGAGGCCCATCCCAGCAGAAGGAATAGCAGTGTTTGCCCCTTGGCAGCATGGCAGGGACTAATATGGAGTTTCTCTCTCACTTAGGAGGAGCCCAGTTGCTGAGCAGAGCTGAGGAGCAGGCTCCTAAGGAAGGGCCAGCAAACCTGAAGCCACCTGGGGCTTCCCCAAGAACTTTGGGTAAGATGGACTTCCTGAGCTTTGTGAAGGACCACTGGCACATGGTTCAGGGGATGCCCCAAAAGCAGAAGCAGAATGTAGCAGTGAACCAGATCCCATCTCCAGTTGGGCATGAGAGTGACAAAGGGAAAGAAGCCAAAAAGAGTCCAGGGTGCCAGGAAGAATTTGTGGTGCAAAGAGACCTGAAGAGGGACAAGACAAAGGTCCACTGGAGAGAGAGACGGCATGCAAAACGAAGCAGTGGAAAGGGCCTCAGAGGGAAGCAGGAGCTAACTGCCAAGCCCAAGGGGAGAGCCCACCCCTGCCCCGAGTGCAGGAAAAGCTTTAGCTGCCCCTCACTCCTGGCTCTGCACAAGAAAAAGCATGCTGGGGAGAAGCCCCACAAAAGCGACAAGAATGGAAAGAGTTTCTCCTACTCTTTCAAACTGGTCCAGCACCAGCGTGTCCACACAGGGAACAAATCACATCGGTGCTTGGAGTGTGGAAAGAGCTTCACCCAATCCTCCAGCCTGGCCCGGCACCATCTGATCCATACCGGGGAGAAGCCATATCAGTGCTCTGTGTGTGGGAAGAGATTCAGCCACTCCTCCAACCTGGCCCAGCACCACCGCATCCACACAGGAGAAAAGCCACATCGGTGCTCTGTGTGTGGGAAAGGCTTCACGTACTCCTCACACCTGGCCCGGCACCGGTTCATCCACACAGGGGAGAAGCCACATCAGTGCTCTGTGTGTGGGAAGGGCTTCACCGACTCCTCAGTCCTGGCCCGGCACCGGTTTGTTCACACAGGGGAGAGGCCATATCAGTGCTCTGTGTGTAGGAAGAGCTTCACTGACTCCTCAGGCCTGGCTCGGCACCGATTCATTCACGCAGGGGTGAAGCCACACGGGTGCTCTGAGTGTGGGAAGACTTTCACCCACTTCTCCAAGCTGGCCCAACACCAACGCATCCACACAGGAGAAAAGCCATTTCGTTGCTCTGTGTGTGAGAAGAGCTTCACCTGCTCCTCAGGCCTGGCCCGGCACCGGTTCATCCACACAAAGGAGAAACCACAACAGTGCTCTGAACGTGGGAAGACCACCCAATCCTCCCTTCTGGCCAAGCACCAATCCAAACACCTCAAGCAGACGACATCCCAGATGCAAAGATCTCCTCCTCATCTCCTCCCCTGGCATCAGCCTTGAAGCCTGTGCATATCACATCATTCTCTAAAAGCAGTCAGTTCTCCCATGGGACAAAGCAGTACCTTCATGATGGGGCGCTCTCCCCAAGACAACTGACTCCAGATGACACCCAGGGACTTTCCTTGGTGCCCTCCCAGCTTTGTCCTCTCATCTGGTCCCAGGGTTCTGCTATATGAGGCTCTTGAATTGCAGGAAAGACGTATATGGCTGAGGAAACATTTCCTGCCCTTCACCTTGACCTTACCTTTCCTCACCACCCCATCATCCCTCCCCCAGGCCCTCCCATGCGCAGTGGGGTCTGCAAGGAGCTGCTATTGCCACCCTTGAACCTTTTTTGGTCTTTTTTGCTTTTTAGCCTCTGCAGAACTGTGCACCATGGGGTGCCTGCTGCTCCCCTGCCCTCCACTCCCCTCCTTTCATTGCATGCTCTCTCATGCTACTAAAGCCCCAGAACTGAACATGGTACCCTGTGGTTGGTTTCCGTGTCCTCTCCAGAGCTGTGCAATAAGAATAGACGAAGGCCTACAGCCCTTTCCAGGGCAGATCTCTCTATAACTTCCCAGCCCCTTCCCATTCCATGTGGAGCTTGTTGCTAACCCTCAAGAGCAGGAGTTGGCCCCACTTGAGGCCTCATTTCCCTGTCTGCTGTGCAGCAAGGACCTTGTCCTTCTGACGGAAAGTCTGGGGAGGGGGTGCCAGAGTCCCTTTTCTGAGTGCCGTGGTGTAGCAGGGGTGAAGGAGGTGCAACCTATGGCCGGCTCTGCCCCTCCTGTGTAAGTGTGGGGGAAGTATGAAGACATCCTGTGGGTGAAGTGCAGCACATTGTAGTCTCCTGTTGGGAATACTGAGGCCTTCCTCCTAGTGCCAAAGTTGTTTGGCTCCATGATGATCCTGGGGGCACGTGTACTGCTGTGCAGATGTCCCAGGGACACCTTCAACTCCCAGGGCACTGGCCTCTGGCAGGGGGAGTTTGGCTATCCTCCAGGGAGGGAGGAGTACAGGGAGAGAGACCTTTGCCCTCCCTGAGAGCCCTTGAGTTGTTCCAGTCTGTACAAGTCAGGGAAGCATGGGCAGTCAGGTAGCTTGGCTGTACTCTAGAGCTGCCCACTGAGATAAGTGCCCAGGGCTGTCCCCAGTCCAGGCGGAGCATGAGCCATAGACCCCAGCCCCTTGTGCTGGGGGCAGAAGTCAGAGACAGTTTCCCACAAAGCACAATCATTGCACCAGAGGCTTCAGCAGAACTCTGTTCCCATGCAATGGGAACAGGATACAAAACTTTTAAGCCAGCCCTGGCCATAAGCAGAGGCAGCAGTGGGGAGCAAAGCTTTTGCCAGAGAGACTGGTGTGGGGCTGCCTGGAGTTGCTGCCCCTGTCCATGAATGCCCCATATGTTGTCCTCACTGGTGGCCCTGGTTTGGAATGGGGGTGCTGGGGCCTTTCTGTCTCTTGCCAGCTCCCCTGGATGGAGAGAAGGAGGGTGCTGGGGGCTGCAGGTCTCCATGAGGTTGGTGGGCAACAGGAGGGGTGCAGTGGCTAGGGGAAACCCTCCCTTCCTTCACCTCGTGGATGGGACTTGCTTCTTCTTGGAGGTACATCACTGCTGGTTTCTGCTCTGTCCTTCATGATCCCCTCTGTGCTCTGGGACATTGTCTCTGGGACTCCTTGCTCCTGCCTTGGCCAGCGTGAGCGGTGTCTGGTTGTGCACAATTCATTGCAGTCTCAATCACAAGCTCAAATGTGTCTTGCAAATGCCTTTTACATTTGTGAATTTCCTTTTAAAATCTTCTGACAAAAATGTGAAAAGAGAAAACTCCTGGTAGTAATACCAGTTTCACATTTCCCCCCAAAAGAGAGATCTTTGGTTTAAAACCAAAAATTCAAACACCAGCAACACACAGTGCTTCAGTGAAAAACTAAATCGCAAAAAAACACAGCACCCAAATGAATATATATTACACTAGATCTTTTGTTTTGGTTTCAGATTTTGGAGAATGCTGCAGCTTTTCATTTAAACTCACAAAGCTGTATTTTTGTTTAATGCCATCTCCTTCCTTGGGATAGCAAGGGGCAGCCATGAGCTGTAAAAGTTGTTCCTGATAGGGTAGGTGCTTGGACAGACAGCCAGGCTGGGGTGTTCCCCAGGGGCAGGGTCTCTGTTTATGCTGGTTCTCCACTTCCTTGTGAACTTGTTTTGCTCTCCTGCTCTCTTTTTCTAGGTTATTTTGTTATCTGACGATTAGCTGCTCTGATCCATTGTAGGAAATGTGGAATATAAATGAAATGAATGACCGAGGAGTATGTGACAAGGCCACACAGGGAGGGTGCAGTGGGTGATTGCTGATCTGAAACTTTCCTTTTTAAACTCCTTTAATCCCAGCTGCTTCTGCCCCATGGCCCACACACAGGCCACTCAGTGCTTGCATGCAGGATGCCTGCCATGGGCTTGGGAGTATCTGAGGCTCCAGGGGGAAGAGTCTGGGAGGGAGAAGACTTGCTGGGGTAGCCGCACACAGACTTGAATGACTGAGTTGTGCTCTGTCAATAGACTTGGGAACTGGTTTGGCTGATTTGGCCCAAGACCAGAACCTTTAAAAAATGAATACTAATGAAAATGCCCCTCCCTCACCTCTCCTCAGCTTTGGGTCAGGATCAGTGTTCTGGGCTTTTTCCCCAGCCCAGGGGAAGCTTCTTGCTCCCCACAGGCATGTGGAGCTGCTGGTGAGAGCAGCTAATGTGTGCATGTGTGTCTGTGCATGAATTAATGCGCACATAAGCTCTGGTGCTTATTGCTCCAGAGTTTTTTGCTCCCAGGCATGCCATTTGAACATGAGCATGGTACACCTGTGGTTGGGGGAACACAACAATTCTTAACTTCAGGCATATGACAGAGAACAACAGGAAACTTTACCTAAGCTAAGACATAAACCAGTGAAACGCAGTGACAGTATGCACCTCTTAGTCTAATTTAATCTAATAGAGCTGTTAAATAATTAAAATGTGATTGTGATTAGTTACTCAATTAAAATATTGGTCACAATCACAATTTTAACTGCACAGTGAAAAACTCAAAATTACATGCAGAAAACTCAGGTATGCAAAACTGTGCAGGTACTTTGTATGGTTGGTGGGGGGTGGGATTTGTGAAGGTGTGGGGGGTTGTGGGTGTGTGTGAGAGGTTTGGAGCCCAGGGCCAGGGGGGTCCCTGCACACCCTGGCAGGGTATGGGGTACTGTGGGTCGGAAGTGAGGGGCAGCAGTAGGGATGGATGAGCTATGGTAGTGAGGCAGGGAACAGGCATATTATTGCCCCACCCCTACCCCCAATCATATTACCACCAGGTGTCCACTTTTTTTTTTTTAACTGGAAATTTGGTAACCCTACAGGAATGCAACTGACCAGAATGTAGAGCAACACCCAGCTGTTAAGTCCGTGGAGGGGAAGGGCTGCGAGAGAGGGAAGGGGCAGATTGAGGCCTCCATGGTCAGGAAAGGAGTGAGGCAGAGCAGGCAGGGGCTGGGGTGAATGGGGCCCTGGGCTGGGGAGTGAGGCAGAGCCACGGGAGGCTTATCGAGGGGTGATGGGGGACACTGCTGTGCATACCACTGGGGAAAGCATAGGGAGTATGTGCCCGTCTGGATTTGTGTGTGGGGCAAGGTGGGCTGCTTGGTGAAAACAGGGGCTCTGTGCCCCACTGCCTTTGCCCCAGGAGCCACACACTGGTTGTGCCACACATCCCCTGCCAGCCCGGTGGCAGGATACACAACATGGTGTCACATGGCTCCCAGGAAAAAGGCAGCAGAAAACAGAGCTCCAGCCCTCAGCAGGCAGCCACCTCTGCCCTGCGCACAAAACCAGGGGGCACGTGCTCCCCATGCCTTCCCTGGGGGCACACCCAGGAGCAGGGAGCCCCTGGACGAGCCTCCCATGGCTCCAACCCACTCCCCACCCCAGCCCTGGGGCCTCATTCAACCCAGTCCCTGCCCCACTCTCTCTCTCACCATGGGGGCCTTGATCTGCACCCTCCCCACACCCATTCCCTCTCCCCCAGCCCCTTCCCTTCACAGAGTTAACAGCGGAGTGCTGGTCTACATGCTGCTGGTTTCCATTACTGGCCATGTGCATGCTGTGGCTGCTCATGTGCCTGTGCCTGCGCCTGTGCCTGTGTGCACTCCTCCCACACATACAGCTTGCTGCAGCAGCCTGGAGCCCACACCTGGGCTGCCCTGTGGTCCTCTGAACTGCCACTACTGCCTGGCTAGGCAGCCCCGAGATGATGGTAAAGCATACCCTGGGCACAGGATACAGAACCACATGCATGATTAGCACATTAAAAATATTAATGCAAGAACCAATTAATGCATTAATTGCATGTTAACGATGATTTCATAGTTATAATTTCATAGTTTGTAGGATCAGAAGGGACCTGAGCAGATCATTGAGTCCGACCCCCTGCCATGGCAGGAAAGAGTACTGGGATCAAATGACCCCAGCAAGGTGTTCATCTAACCTCCTCTTACAGACCCCCAGGGTAGA